TTGTGACTCACAGCTGCGCTTTGTCCAGTGTGAGAGCTGTTTACGCAAACGTGGAGGTGTATCTAATCAAGTGGATTCAGGATTTATTTCTCAGATTTACTTTTACGTCTGAGTCAGTGTGTGCACAAAGGGACTCCAGAGAGCCTTCAAAGGCTATTTAAACCAGTATGTCCGGTATTCAGAAWATTCATATTATAACAAAAATAAAAAGCGGTTTTCGGCACAAAACAGTATACCGCCCAGCACTAGGCGAGGCCAAAGTGAAGTTGCAGTAGGTTCACTGACGCCCAGGGCCATTGAGGTTGATGGAAAGTGTGGGAAAAAAAGGAAGCTGGTCTCCACATTTTAGCTCCACGTCGGCTTGTTTGATTCAGATTGCAAGTGGCAACATAATGACCACGGTCAGCSACAGCTTAGCAAGCTGGAACACAATCCAGAAGCAACACAAATCTAAAAGCCTCCGTCTCTTTTTAGTGTTTCATTAGAGCTCTGAAAATTCATGCTTTGATAACTAATTCAGCTCTGTGCACGTGTTGCCAGCTTCTTTCCAAGTGGTTGTTTGATACTGCCTTACCAGCTCCGACCATTACTCCCCCTGCTCCTTAACAAAATCCCAGCGGAGCAGGATTTCATTTGCTTACAAAGATCAAGCCGTTCTCCCCACCTGTCCTGACAGCTGCCTGCTTGGGTGGACGATTTAAGCAGCAAACTTTGCCAACTTGAAGCCGTTTCCCAGCTTTTCTCCCTCCGTCGCCTGAATGGCAAACTGCCTCATTTCTGTCCACTGGCAGAGAAATTGGGTTTTATGGTCAGCTGAGCTCTGTGTGCAGGTGTTTCTGTGGGGCTCTGATGGCTCACAGCTTCTACAGATTAAGTTTTGCGACTCCCCAAGTCGACGCGGCGGAGGGGTTGCTGAGGTTCTGGACTGTTGCTACGGCGTGTCTCCTGCCAACGCTGGACTTTTAATCTGACAAATTTTCTGTTCAGCACTTCTGGAGGACTCATTAGGAACACACACACACACACACACATACACCAGTTTTGGGTAAAGTGTGTGTTTGCTATTCTCGTCTTTATTTGTTTTATTTTTTACTTTTCTCACGTGCTCGAGTCCCACCTGTTCTCTCTCGATGRAGGGTTAATGGGCGCATATGCGTGCAATGGAAGGGCCATTAAACTCCAGACTATTCTCAGATGAGCGATAAAACCCTGCAGGACAGCAGGCACCCCCCACCCCACCCTTCTGTGTGAGAGCTCCACCTGCTGGTTCCGATCCAGTCGTTTCTTCTCACCTGACTCGAGAGGCTGWGGCGTCCATCAAAGGCTCCAGCGTCTCGCAGCCATATGGTGCTATTTTAGGATTGATGGATGGGACTCGGTCTAAATGAGACTGCAGAGAGACACATGCAGGCGGGCTTCTATTTACTGAGGCAATGTATGATGGGAGATGGTATTGATATTTCATTATGAGTCTAATAAAGGGCAGCCGGTATTGAGTTTTCATTAATAGGGTTGGTTTGGTGCAGATTAACATGTCTGTGCACTTCCTAATGACTTGGAGAGATGCAGAACGACTCCAGCTGCGTGCTTTAAAGCCGCCTCGGACAGATCCACCAATCAACTGCATCCTTTTTTTCCAGTCTGAAAAAAGAATGCAGGAGGGAGACAAAGAGATAAAGAGATATTCAGATAGTGGCACAAAGGCAGGCTGAGAAAAGGCATGCAGAGAACACTGAACAGCCAAAATGTGAATAAAAAAAAAAGATAGCAAGAGATCAAAAGAAGCGCAAAATGTGCATTAACAAAGAAAACAATAAAGCAGAGAGAGGGAGAGTGGTGCAAAACGACTTGACTGGAAGAATTTTAAAAAATAAGAAGCTGCCTACTAAGCACAACGCATTATCTACACAATATATTGCTACAAGAACTCTGCTTGGATTTGTTCTTGTTCCTTGGAGCATTCATAAGTGCCACCAGGGCCGTGCAGTCCTCAGAGAGCGGGCTCCCAGATGTGCAGGAACAAACGGACACGGAGCTATCGCCACTGTTCTTTGTGGCTGCTTAACAAAAGGAGCAGGTCCGGTGCAGAGAATGGTGGCCTGACTTCAGTGTTCTTTCTCTCTCACTGCTTCTCTTCGCTTCTGACGCAATGAAGCCAAATGGATTTATAGGAAGAGAATGAAGCCAAAGAGCAGGGACGTCACAAGACATTATACAGACAGGCTCTGGTATCATGGCTACCTGACAACGGAGCTCAAAAGTGTGGGATCGTTTTAAGAAAATGAAAGAGAAACCTGT